AGAAATCTAGGAATTTTTTCTTATTTCATTGAGAAACCACCAATAAATACAATCATTTCCAGAATATAGCTTATTTAATGAGAATATAAAGTTATATAATGACAAAGCATTGGTAACTGATGAAAGATTCTGAACAAGAAGCATTCCAGGGGCTGGGGGATGTGGTTCAGAGGGAGAACACTTGCCTAGAATGTGTGAGGCCCTGGGTTAGATCCCAGCACTGGGGGAAAAATAATATTTTAAGCATATTTTTTCTGTGGCGCTAGGCAAGCACTCTACGACTGAGCTATATCCCTAGTCCCTTTAGTCTTTCTTCAACATTGTTCAGGGCAAAGCACAATAACTCCTCCTGTTGGTGAGATTCTATCTTTTTTCCATTAACTCCTAGGACAGTTCCCAGCAAACTAAACATATTCAATGCTTGTTTGTGGGACCGGACTGGATAAACACACAAGAATTGCACAGAAACAGTCACAGAGCTGGGAAAAATTACACAAGACCAAAATATCATCTCCTGTGGAGATCCTTCCTGTCCCAGGAGTCTCTGAACCAGGGTTATGTCCATGCTGTAAGTGAATCAATCCTCATTTTTGTTTTCTAGTTTCTTTTGACACACACGGATGGGACTCAGCCTCCCCGGGCCTGATCCTGCTGGATGAACAGTCATAAACCAAACCTGCTTAGTTGGGGTACAGGGAATAGGCTCTTGGGATGCCCAGAGATGCAGCCATTTTTTTGGTGCAGCCAAAGTCTACTGACATTTCTCCAGCTTCTCTTGATTATGGTAGGAGCACTTGGAAAATGAATTGCACCTCCTTTTTAAACAAGTGGGCCCCAGGACCATGCTCTTACCTCTGTAATCCTTTTACAGGTTAGGAAAGAGATGATTGACCTTTAGGTAGAAATCCTTAAGTCTGATTTCTAGCCAGATGTTGTAGAGCGTGCCTGTAATCCAAGTGACTTAGGAGGCTGAGGCAGGAAGATCATAAGTTTCAGACCAACCTCAGAAATTTAGTGAGACCCTAAGCAAATTAGCAAGATCTTGTCTCAAAAAGTAAAAAGGGCTGGGGATGTAGCTCAGTGGTAAAGCACTCCAGGTTAAATCCCCAGAACCGCTCCCTGCCCCTCGCCTCAAGAAATCCTTCAATTCAGAGCTAGACCAGTGAACCTAGACTTTTAGAAGTTCCAAGGGTTAAATCTCAATTTAGCCCCCCAAATTCTTGGAATCTTAGAACTAAGACCTTAAGTATCTCCCAGTAGAAATATCTCCCATTCCTTACAATTCCCCTTGACCTCATCTCACCAGGAAGAATCTGCATGGGGGCTGGGATGTAGCTCAGTGGCAAGCCCTGGGTTCAACCCCCAGTTCCAAAAAAAAAAAAAAAAGAATCTGCATAGGTTATTTTCCTCTCTGCAGTGGGCTTGACTGCCAAGTGCTTTATGCTGTTCTGCATGTGCTTCCCAGGCATAGCCAGCAGAGGAGACAGAGGCCAGGGGATAAACCACCAAGACAGAGGCTTGRTGGGTAAAGGAGGGCAGGAGGTCCTTCTTGCTACTCCTACTTTTGCAGTTCTGGGTATGGGGTGGCAAGTCTAGGTGTCAGCTCTGCAGAACTAAAGTCGCCCTCTAGTGGACTGTCTCAAGAACTAGACTTGGTCAAGGATGGTCCTGCCAAGTTTTCCACTGCAGAGAGACTAATTGTCTCTTCTGTCCCTCCTTCTAACTTTCCCCCTAAACTTTTTTTTTAACTAAATGTTTATTATAAAAATTTGGAAAAAGGGAAAATTAAAAAATATTGAAAACCAGAGATTTATTAAAAAAACAACTTAAAATTTGGAATATACCCTTATTTTTGTTTTACTTAATGTATGTGGGATAATTTTACATATTGTTACACTTTCTGTTTTTTGTTGTGTTTGCTTTAGATTCTTCTACATGGTTGTCTCAATGTTTTAACCATTGCCTTATTGTTGGACATTTAAGTTGCAACTTATTATAAAACCTCTGAATTTTCACAGGATAATCCTTAGAGGTGACACTTCTTAAGGAAAAGGATGCAGAATTTGAAGGCTTTTGCTATATATTGCCAGATTTTCCTCTACCAGCAACCAAGTGTCCATTTCCTTGGCATAACTACATTTTTCTTTGCCATTTTTCAAAGCAAATATGGGATCTAATTTTCCTGCTTTGTTGGACACATGAACTTGAAAAAGTTTTTACTTTTTTTTTGCCATTGTAATCTCAAAGTATTTTTTCCTTTTAAAGATGTTTATTTTTAGTTGTTGATGAAACTGTTTACTTTATTAATTTATTTATATGTGGTACTGAGAATCAAACCCAGTGCCTCACACATGTTAGGCAAGGGCTCTACCACTAAGCCACAACCCCAACCCCTTAAAAATATTTTTATTGGGCTGGGCATGATGGTACACACCTGTAATCTCAGGGATTCAGGAGACTGAGACAGGGGGATCACAAGTTTGAGACTAGCCTCAGCAACTTAGGGAGGCTCTAAATAACCTAGTGAGAACTTGTCTCAAAATATAAAATAAAAAGGGCTGGGAAGGTGATTTAGTGGTTGACCACCCCTGAGTTCAATCTCTGATAACCCCTCCCCACCGAAATATGTACATATATGGCTGGGGATGTGACTCAATCATAGAGAATTTGCCTAGCATGTGTGAGGCCCTGGGTTCAATCTCCACAATTGATTATGTACAATTAAAAGAATCACTCCTGTCCAGGAATCCCAGCTTCATGGGAGGCTGACGCAGTAGGATTGTAAGTTCCAGGCCAGTCTAGGCAATCTAGTAAGACCCTGACTCAAAATAATATAAAAAGGGCTGGGGGGTATAGGTTGGTACAGGGTTGGGGGTCATAACACTTGACTAGCACAMATGGTACTGCAAATACCAATCCTTGGTACTGCAAATAAAGCCAAAATTGTAGATTTACATACAACTATAAGAAATAGGRCTTATATACCTTTCATCCAGTTTCCCCTAATAGTAATGTCTTGCAGAACTGTGGTACAATATCACAACTGGGAATTGACACAATGCATTGACTTTAGTCACATTTCACCAGGTTTACAAGCACATGCATATGTGTGTACTTCTAATTTTACCACATGTGTAGATACATGTAATCATAAAAAAGCTTAAAAAGATGGATTGTGGGGTGGATACAAGAATATATGTTATAAAGTAAATTTTGTAAGATGTCAATTGTAGAATCTTTGAATATGTGGATGTTCACTGTAAAAGTCTCTCAACTTTCTGTATGGTTGAAAGTTTTCATTGAAAAAAAAAACAAAAACAAAAAACTTGAAGGCTGGGGATGTAACTAAGTGGTAGAGCGCTTGCCTAGTATGCATGAGGCGGCCCTGGGTTCCTTCCTCAGTACCAGAAAAAAAATGTTGAGACTGACTGAAGAAGGAAAGTTCCAGTGTTATATATGTTTAAAATATGTATTATAGATGAATAGATGTGGAATACATATATTTCAACTTTATTTCTAATCTTAGACTTGGGTAAAGTTTACAGATATCTCAGTAAGTTGTGGTATTAAGGCAGATGATGACATTATTATTTAGAAAAATCAAGAATTTTCGAGACATATTAATCGTTAAAAATTAGAGATATAGAGGTGGGCTTGGTAGCACACACATATAATTCCAGCTACTTGGGAGACTTAGGAAGGAGGAGTACAAGCTCAAGACTAGACTTGACAACTTAGCAAGACATTGTCTCAAATCTGAAAGGGTATGGGGATGTAGCTCAGTGGTAGTAGACTTGCCTAGCATGCCTGAATCTCTGGTTTCAATTTCAAGTACTAGGAAAAAAATCTGAGACATATAATAGTACTAGATACATTAAAGCATGTTCTGTGGATATAAACTTTAAATGTAGAACTGAAAGGTCTTAAAGAGCTACTATTTTAAAATTGTTGGGAAAAATAATCAGAATGGATGAAGCATGTTGTAGTTTCCCTTCACGATAGTCTGTTCATATGGAAAGAACTTTTTCTGGGCCTCACACAGTCCTCATTAACACAGGAAGGATAACTTGAGGAAGGTAATTCTTCCTGTGTTAGTGAGAACTGCTTGAGGCCCAGAAAAAGAGAAGTTTAAAAAGATGACTTAAAAAGTTATCCTTCCGGAGGCTGGGGTTATGGCTCAGTGGTAGAGTGCGGGGGTGGGGGTGGGGGTGGGGGTGGTGGGAGGGACGGGGGCGGAGTTTACCAGAGGGTCTCAAAAAACAAGGGCAGGGTGACAGATCGCTCCTCGGTTCAATTTCCAGTTCAACAGCTTAAGAATAATTTACTTCTAAGCAGAGAAAAGTTTATACGTATTAGTATATTCATATTTATATTAACACAATAGTAAAATTCTTATTATTTAAATAGACAAGTAAAAATTGGATTTGTGCGGTACAACGTATTTTGATGTGTGTAGACTCTGTAAAATAYAATATTTTAAGGAAAGGGCCCGTGAAAATCACAACGCAACCTTCGGGCTGTGGTTTCCTTTCTTGGGTCCTGCGGCTGTGGAAGCCTGGGGGCAGCACGGGAACCTCCAGGCGCTAGGGAAGCCCCGTGGGTAAGACTTCGACTCTTCTACAGACCTCGGAGGAGTCCACTTCCCACTTTAGAGACTTCTGGGAGCCTTTTCTTTCCGCCCGAGATGCGGCYCCTCACAGGAACAGAAACTCCAGTCGGCAGAAGGGCCTTGGGCAGCAGCCTCGTATCCCGCCTGCACCTCAACTACCCCAGGCAACTAGACGACGCTWGGAGTCTGTGGCGGAAGAGGCGTGGCCTCTAGAAATGCGCACGCGCGCGAACGTCCAACCAGAACCTCGGGGAGGAACGCGGCCTTCGCCGCCGCGGCGGGCCCCTACTCCCGCTACCCGCCCCACGATTGGTGAGTTGGCACTCCATGAACGGGGGTGGGCGGGGCCTCCGCCATTTCCACCAATGAAGAGGAGACAGAGGCCGGCCCAATGGTAGAAGGAGCATGGCGTGGAGACAACTGAAAGTGAGTCTGGAAATGGGACTTGGGTCGGCAAGGGAGAGTCCAGGAGGGGACTGGGGCGGCAGGACCTTGGGGGTTACGCCAGGCGAGGTGTGTAAAGAAGGTGTCTCCGAGCGCGGGTTCTTCTGGAACGTTTGTGTGTCTCTGGGGGCACTTGCAAATCCTTGTGCATTTACCCGAGTACTTGGTGTGTGYAGGACACGTGCCACGTCTGGGCAGATGCGGATTTGACTAAATGCACGTAGGCCACTTTTCGGTTGAGCCAGCACAGGGGCTTTAGTAAACCTATGACCGCCTAGCATTTTGTACAGGATCCAAGAGGAATGAAGGTAGAGCCAAACACGGTCCCCCAACCCTTTTAGGAAAAGTTTTGTGGGGATCTGTGTAACGAGTTCTTAGTTGTATCACTAAGGTCTAGTATGTGATAGGTGCTCAAGTATTTGCKGATTGACTTGAGAGGAGATTTACAGACTTATGGATGAGAGGTGAAAACTCRGTCTACATTCACTTCTTGGAGCGGCCTTTAAAAGGCAAATCTGATAACATCACTTCTTTGTTTAGAGAACAAAATCCAAATCTTTATTCTAATCCAGGCCGATTTGTCCTATCTAAAGTCATGTTTAAAGTCATGTTTTTCCTCAGTTCCAAAGAGACTTTCTCTGCTCTCACATTCCTGGGAGTTTCTCCTCTTTGCTTCCAAAAGAGCCTTTATGCTTTTCCCTCCCCTTACTGTTTCCTGGTTAACTCATCCATTCTTTGAAGATCAGCTTTAAGTCACTTCCTTAAGAAGCCTCTACTTACCTTTGGGATTTTTTTGGGTCCTTCCATTATACTATACAATACCTTTTTCCTTCATAGCAATTGTCATAGCTACATATTTGCACGATCATTAAGTTCACCTGTCTATTTATGAGATTGCAATTGCCACAAAGCTGGAACCAGGTCTGTTTTGCCCACTTTTGAGCTCAGATTTGTTGAATGATTCAACTAATAAAGAATGGGGTGTCTTGGCATCTGTTAGTGAGAGAAAAGAATTGTGAACCACTTTTGAGCTAGGACAGCGGTCCTCCACCCTCAAAGACCTTTTTTTTTTTTTTTTTTTTTTTTTTTTAAAGAGAGAATGAGAGAGAGAGAGAGAGAGAGAGAGAGAATTTTTAATATTTATTTTTTTTAGTTCTCGGCGGACACAACATCTTTGTTGGTATGTGGTGCTGAGGATTGAACCCGGGCCGCACGCATGCCAGGCGAGCGTGCTACTGCTTGAGCCACATCCCCAGCCCCCTCAAAGACCTTTTGAAGCATCCTCTGAAGCTCTTTTTATATTGCAACCCCCTTTATAATTTTCCATTTCAGGGTAATAATCTTCCTATTTATAAGCTTAAAACATCATCAATGTACAATCTGCATATGTAAATGTCAGGACATGACTCAGTTAAGTGAGAGGTCTGGTGGGGTATTTAAACTTCTTTTTTGGTGGGGGTGTACTGGGAATTGAACTCAGGGGCACTCAACCCAACCACTGAGCCACATCCTTAGTCCTGTTTTTGTATTTTATTTAGAGACAGGGTCTCATTGAGTTGCTTAGCACCTCGCTAAATTGCTGAGGCTGGCTTTGAACTCGAAATTCTCCTTTCTCAGTCTCCCTAGCCACTAGGATTACAGGCATGCACCACCACACCTGGCAGGGTGTTTAAACTTCCACTCGAAAAATCAAGTTCCACAGATGTGTTGTTTTGTCAAACACCCCAAGCAAAGCACCATTTTTTGAAATGGTGACTGATTATTTTTGTAATGTTTTGTGCAAAATAGTATAGTTGTCTCTCAATTGACAAGGTAATTTTATTCCTGGAAARGTCAATGCCTATGAAAACCACGTAGGAACTAGTTTATGTACTTCTTGGTTCAGATAATGTGAGGGTTTTTTTTTTGGGGGGGGTGGGTGGTACTGGCAATTGAACTCAGGGACACTCGTGTTATGGGCCATGTTATGTAGACAGTGACCAAACAGACTCCATTTTACCCTGAGACTCCATATCATGTAAGAATTGCTTCTCCCATGGGAAAGCCCCGCCTCTGTACCCATTAATAGTTACCTAGCATAGCATACTTGGCAACACAAAATGGTAATTCTTATATAATGTAAAATTGTTCTCTCTTTGGTTCCTATTTTTCTTGGGCAGTGTACCCTGTCAGAGATTGATTGTCTAGACATTAGTAACCATTCTCTAACTTTTACTTAACTAGGGTCATTTTAACCCACTTCCCTTTTGCTTGCTTGCTGCTATGCCAACCTGGAAAGTCCAGTAGGAAATACCAATGTACCCATTGCATTGTTTCGCTAACTGCTCGATTCAGCTTCTGTACCGCTGCTTGCTTGCAGCTACATCAACCTGGATGTGGTTTTTGCAGTTTTTGCCTTTAAATACTCTAAAATGTTGAATCTTGAGGCTGTTTTCTACAGAGACAACATGGTCCTGTGGGAAGCAATCCTGGCTGGTCGGAATAAAGACTCTTCAGTTTGGACAAAACTGGGACTTGGTGTGTTTTCTGAGCAACTTGCCCCACAACACTAGGCCTCTGAGTCACATCTACAGCCCTATTTTATATTTTATTTAGAGACAGAGTCTCATTGAGTTGCTTAGCGYCTCACTTTTGCTTATGCTGGCTTTGAACTCACGATCCTCCTACTTCAGTTTCCCAAGCTGTTGGGATTATAGGCGTGTTCACCGCACCTGGCATGAAGTTTTTTTTGAAAATTTTTTTTTTAATATTTATATTTAGTTTTCAGCAGACACAACATCTTTGTTTGAATGTGGTGCTGAGGATCGAACCCRGGCCGCATGCATGCCAGGCAAGCGTGCTACCACTTGAGCCACATCCCCATCCCATGAAGTTTTTTTTGATGACATGAACATCAGTAGCATGTTCAAAAGTCAATATGGACAATGTGTGTCAGCCTCAGGCAAAGAAGAATGTATGACTTTACTGACTTCTACATGCTAAGTCTATTAGCATTGTTCTGTCACTGTAACCAGTAAAAATGCCTCAACATGTCCCCTGGAGGATAGTATTACAACTCTTGACTCCTGGCCWACCATCCTAAGGAAAGTCTTCAGCCAGAGTCTGTAAGCACAGTGTATATGTAACTATAGAGACTGGTCTATAAGATGGACTGTAAATGAAGGAGATTAGTATCAACACATGGTGAGGGATGTTGCTTCTTGTGACATATCATTTTGTCCTATCTGCCTAGGGGTAAAGGGATCAGGGAGGATGCTGCAGCCTGGCCTTGTTAGGATTCCTCTAATTGACTTTTTTTTTTTTTTTTTTCCTCCCCAGAAGCGAGCTCTGGATGCTGTAGTCATCCTGGGGGGTGGAGGACTTCTCTGTGCCTCCTACCTGACAGCCACAGGGGATGAGCGTTTCTATGCTGAATACTTGATGCCGGCTCTGCAGAGGCTGCTGGACCCAGAGTTAGCCCACAGGCTGGCTGTTCGCTTCATCTCCCTGGGTCTCCTTCCTCGAGCCACATTTCAAGACTCTGACATGCTGGTAGGTACTCTTGGAATGTCCTGTACCTTAGATACAAGGGGGAAGCTTGAAGTCTCAGAGCCCTAGGTTAGCAGAGGAAATCTGGAACTCAAATCTAAGCAATCATTTTTATCATATATCATAATTACATAATAATAGTGGTCATTATATAACTCATATGGAACTTAATCATGTAAGGCAGTTCCCCTTTAATCCTCACAACTACTTCCTGAGGCAGGTCCTACTGTCATCTCCAGGTGCAGGTCAGGAGTCTGAGTTAACAGTGATTAACCCAAAGCCACACAGTTAGAAAATGGCAAAACCCGAGTTCAAACCTAGACTCTGGCTCTGGCATCCAGCCCTGTCTACTATCCTGTCTTGCTGACGTCTTGAGTAGCTGAAATTTAGTGGCAGATCGGGAATCCTGCCAGTCATTAAACTCTAATGTGACACAGGTATATCTGATCAAGTCTGTGAGGTAGGCATGAGAACACATTCTTCTGCCTCCTTCAGCCACACAGCACTATTGTTGTGATGTTCTGGGGTTACTGCAACAAAACAGAAGAAGGCGTGTTCTCACAGAACCTGTATCCTCGTGTAAGCCTTGGAAGTTTCCTTTTGAGACATTTTTTTCTACCAAATAGGTGACAGCAGAATGATTTGAACATACAAACCCAAGCAGGAAGCTCTCAGAGCTCTTTAAGGGAGGGTCACTGTTAGAGAATAAGGGGCCTTTGCTACATATCTCCTTGCTAACTTAGAGCCCTTTTCATTTTCCCAGTGTATAATTTTGAGCAGCCGTGTCATTTTAAGGCACTGTAGGATCAGGAAGAACCTTCCTTTTATTAAGCCTTCCTCACTCTAAACTGCTAGTGTGAAAGCCCTGGAACCAGAAATGTGGGAGTAAAAAGTGTGATGCAGGGGCTGTGGCTCAATGGTAGAGCGCTTGCCTAGCACATGCGAGGCCCTGGGTTCGATCCTCAGCACCACATAAAAATAAACAAATAAAATAAAGATATTGTGTCCAACTACACATACTAAAAAATAAATATTAAAAAAAGAGTGTGATGCAGAGATGGAAAAATTGGAAGGAGGTGAGCTTATACCTGGAGTGGTAATGATCCGTGTCCAGTAAGCACAGCCTACAGAGCCAGCATGGCCCATGCACTGTCGATCTGCACACAACTGCGTGGTTTACACCTGCAATAGCTCATGTAGAATTGAGTTTCCCAGCTATTGAGATAGGGTCTCACTATGTTGTCCAGGTTGGTCTCTAACTCATGGGTTCAAGATGGGACTCCAGGTATGTCATTGTGTCTATAGTTTATAATTCCTCAGCTGACAGCCTGGCTTCTTGATCTTCTCACTCAACCTTTCTAGTTTCAGTTCTTCACCATTTCCTTAAGTCCTTGGTTCTCTTTCTCTGCCCCCGATCCCGCACCCCTTTATTTATTTATTTATTTATTTATTTGTACTGAGGATTTAACCCAGGGACAATGGCAATTTACTACTGAGCGGCATCCCCAGCCCTTTTTTATTTTGAGACAGTGTCTCACTAAGTTGCTGACGCTGACCTTGAACTTGCGGTCCTCCTCAGCTTCCTGAGCTGCTGGGATTATAGATGTGCACCACTATACCCACCTTCTTGGTTCTCAATCATGGTTGTATGTTAGACTCTCCAGAGGTGCTTTATGACATACTTGGATTCTGCCGTCAGACAAGTGTAACAAATCATAATCTCTGAGGCTGGCCTATAAGTTGCCCAGGGAGTTTATAGTGCAGCCGGGGTTGAGCACCACTGTCCCTGAGGAAGGCCCTGAGTCCAGCCACACTCCTTGCCTTACAGCCCCAAAGTGCCTCACGCTCATTCTCACCTTCATCGTTGTTGTTTTCCCTGCTCAGAGACCTTTCTTACCTCCCGCTTCCAGCATCAGGTGGCCTCACCTTGAGAGTTACTTGCTCTTCCTCTCAAGTTGCTGGAGCCAGCACTGAGTTCTGCCTGGCTGAGCCCCATCCTTCCTCCAGCTCTTTGGGGACTGGGGGATGTGGCTGGGGCTGCTTATTAACCTCTCTTATTGGAGACAGGGATGCACTGGGGCTGACTTATTATACTGATATCTGGATTTTGCTGCCCAGCGTTCCCTGCAGGGTTTAGAGTAGCACAACCTAGGGGATGACTCAGGAGTCACCCTCTCCTGCCCAAGAAGATACCGGTCTTAACCATAGGAAAAGACAGTGCCTGTRTCCTGTTCAACCTGTGGGAGAAATGCTGTTTTCTCCCCAGGATTGATAAGGTAAATAAAGTCTCATAGTTTTCAAACTTCAGTAGCCTCAGAATCACCTGAAGAGTGCTGTTGCAGATAGATTTGCTCAGCTTCACTGCCCACTGCCCCCTGCTGAAGGCCTGATTCTGTAGTTCTGGGGATGTTTAATAGGCTCTCAAGGGAATTTTGATATGGGTGTTCCAGGGAACACACTTTGAGAAACACCACTATAGCTTTGTGTACCTCTGTCTTTGTCTATATCTTCCCAGGAAGTGAAAGTCCTGGGCCATAAATTCCGAAATCCAGTAGGAATTGCTGCAGGATTTGACAAGCATGGGGAAGCTGTGGATGGCTTATATAAGCTGGGCTTTGGCTTTGTTGAGGTAGGGAGTGTGACTCCTAAGCCTCAGGAAGGAAACCCCAGGCCCAGAGTCTTCCGCCTGCCCGAGGACCAAGCTGTCATTAACAGGTGGGTTGCAGCCCCATGTTGATGGGTGCCTCTGCCCTGCTGGGCTCTCAGAGATGGAAAGGCTGCCTCAGTGTTTTATCTTATACATAGGACATTTTTCTGTCATTTCTGTCACTCTGTTCAGCAATCCTGCTGAGCATCTAGTGTGTGCCAGGCAGAGATCCTCACATCAGCCTTGGAAACTAGGTTTTGTATCAGTTTAACATGGCTTTACACTGAGGCTCAGAGAGCCTAATAACTTAGCTAGGGTCACAGAGATAATAATCAGGAGAGGGCTGAGAATGTGGGTCAGTGGTACAACTTCCCTGGGTTCAGTCCCCAGTAGGAGAGCTTGGTATGCCTTAGGCTCGTTGAACTTCCTGTAGTTTGTGCTTTTTTCATATTGTTACTCCAGTGCTTTTTTTTTTTTTTTTTTTTTTTTAAATAATGTTGTGGATTTTATTTATTTTTGTTTTTTGTTTTGAGAGAGAGAGAGAGAGAGAGAGAGAATTTTTTATTTTTTAGTTCTCGGCGGACACAACATCTTTGTTGGTATGTGGTGCTGAGGATCGAACCTGGGCCGCACGCATGCCAGGCGAGCGCGCTACCGCTTGAGCCACATCCCCAGCCCTCCAGTGCTCTTATTCAATGAAGTAGTATGAGCCCCATGTGTAATTTAAAAGATCTAGTGACCACATTAAAGCAGAAAAGAGAAATGAATGATATTAATAACATTATTGGTAATTATTATTTCATTATAAATAATATATTCTAAATATCATCATTTAAATATGTGGTCAGTACAAAAATTATTAATTAGTTATTTACCTTCTTTTACTTGCACCAATTCTTCCAAAGCTAGTGTTCCTTTTGTGTCCAGTACCTCTCACTGGACCAGCCACATTCTAGTGCTGAGGAGCCACGAGTGGCTAGCAGCTCTGTGTTAAGCAGCCCCACCTTCAGGAAATAGGATTATTTAGTATTCAGTACACATAGCTGCTTTTAGGAAAAGAAATCCTTCTAGATCATCCAAAACCTTTCTTCTTTTTTTTTTTTTTTTGGTGATTTTTTTTTTTTATTTTAAACTTCAACAAACCCAGAAAATAAAGAAGTTCCTGCCTTTTTTTAAATATTTTTTTTTTAGTTGTAGTTGGACACAATACATTTCTTTCTTTCTTTCTTTTTAATGTGGTGCTGAGGATCAGTCCTAGTGCCTCACACGTAGTAAGCGTGCACTCTCCTGCTGAGCCACAATTCCAGCCCCATGATCCTGCTTTTTGATAACAAAAGAGTTTTGGAGAGCCCCCTTGGGGAGATTTTATAGGCATCTTTGGGGCTTTAATGGCCTTCTAGGAGACTGACCTATCCTAAGTTTATGTCACTGGGTTTCTTGATTTATTGTGCTTGTTTCAGGGAAATCTGGCATCTGAGATCAAGTTATTGATTTTTCTGCTATAATGCAGGCTGCAATCAGTAGCTTTAGAACTGGCCAGGCAAAATATGTTTCTGATTCAGCTGCCCCAGGTAACTGCAGGTCTCAGGATGACGTTACTTGGCAGAATCCTGTTGATGAGTGGGATGGGATAGGAATCCGGTGCTCTTGGCACTTGTGTTTTCAGCCTCCTTACTCTGTGTGGCACAAATAAGGAGGAAGGGACAGAGGTCAACACCCCACAGTGGAACTGAGGATTCAGGAATGAAAAAGAGATATGAAGTCCCTGCCTTCTTGGGCTGTTTAGTGGTACAGGTGATAGGGGAGGAAGACACATCTCTTGCCTTGAAGATTATAACCTGGTGTGGAAACTTTAAGCATAGATGCGTATCCCGTTCCAGGAGAAAGGCATAAAGTGCCCTGTGAATGCCAAGGTGAGGAATCCCTTGTGGTTGGGGGCTTTATGCAAGGAGAGAGGCAGCATTTGATCCAGGCCAGGAAGGAGGAGTGATTTTAAGAGGCAGAAAGGATGGGGATGTGGGGTGGTAGGAGTAGTGTTTGGAGGTGGAAACAGGAAGTGGAAGTGGGAGATGGAGAGTCTGTGCTTGTCAGATAGTGGCTTGGCCCTGTAGGAGTGGAGGTAGGATCCAGGCAGGGCTGGGCTGCTTCCAGTGGTAGCTGACTGAGTAGCTTTTTCACACATTTTAATCTTTGCCTTTGTGTGAGTGTGTGTGCATGTGCATGTGTGTGCTTTGTGGTACTAGGGATTTAACCCAGGGCCCTCTGCCTCTCAGCTATGTCCCCAGCCCTATTTTTTTCTTTTTCTTTTTTTGGGACAGGGTTTCACTCAGTTGCTTAGGGTCCTTCTAAATTGCTTGAGGCTGGTTTTGAATTTGCCATCCTCCCATCTCAGCCTCCAGTTGCTTGGATTATAGGCATGTGCCACCATGCTTGTTTCCTTTGTCATTCAAAGTGTTCTGGCATGTTCTCTAGAAGTCCCAGGGGAGTTTAGACCTTGGAACTTTAAGAACTGATTCTGATTTTTTTTTTTTCTCTTTTGATTTATAAAGTCAGTATTTAGTGTATGGTAGAAGTGCTTATGGTGCTTTTTCCAAAATCTTGCCTTCTAACCTTGCCCCCTCCCCTATTGGCCTGTGTGCTACAGGTATGGATTTAACAGCCACGGACTCTCAGCGGTGGAACACAGGTTGCGGGCCAGACAGCAGAAGCAGACCAAGCTCACAGAAGGTAAAGTAGAGGTGCATGGGAGGGCTTTCTTCACCCATCAGAGGAAGAAATGTTGGGAGCATTCCTCGGGAAATGAATACAACTGAGCAATAGGAAAAACCACTGAGGAACTCAGGCTCCTCTCCATTTTCCTGGTTCTAGTACAGCCTCCAAGATTTTAGCTCAATCTCACAGTTTATTTAGCAAAGCCTCACTGGTTCTGCTTCATAAGTGACCTTTGCTGTATCATCTAGGGGAGCCTGGAAGTGAGCCAGGCAGAACTCTCCCCCGTACCCACCAGCGTAGCCAAGATGTGAGCAGGACTGAGTGCCGACTTCGTCTTGCCTGCTATCCTTTTGTCCGTGTATGAGTAATAATATATATTTTAGAAGAGTTAGTAGGTACAGAGCAGCCTAAAGAAGGAAAAGTAGAGTTACTCCTACTCCTCCCATTTAGGGGCAGTTAATGTGAGTGTTGGGGAAATATTCTTCAAGACTGATCTCAGAAACAATATGCACTTCTGAAGGCCGCCCTCCAGATACTGCTGCTTGTTCCCTGTGGCTCTGTGCTTTGCTGTCTCTAAGGGTGGGGGCACTTAGGGATCATAGTCCTGTGTTGTGTCATCCTGACCTTGGCTTCCCTGGCACCCTCTGCGATTGTGTGGGCTGCAGGCCAGGAGGAAGAATCTTCCTCCTTAGGTCCTTCTGGAACTTCCTGGGTCTTAGTCTCATTAGATGTCCTGGTGACATATGAGGAAACATGCATTTATTTCAGGAAGTGAGGCAGAAGATATTAAACTACTTGGCAATTTCACCTGTGGGAGCAGGAAGTGATCATGTTTAGAGACCCCTAGCTTTGGCAGAACCAGACCCTGCTACACGATAGGTCTTCCCATTTAGGAACTTTGAAGGTTGTAATCTGACTTTCATGTTTTGTAACACTCTTCTGCCTTTTGTCTGCTTTTTCTTCATTTATACCTACAGTGCTCTGGTGCCAGCTTTATCTCCTGCTCTCCCTTGCCCACCCTGTCACCCCAGCTGTTCTTGCATTCCCTGGAGCGAAGCACAATCTAGAGCTATGCTCTGTGCATCTAGGAGCTAGGAGCCTTGAAGATGACTTCTTGTTAGCACCATGCCAAGGAATAAAAAGTGATGGGCCCTTTGGGGAAAGGGTAGTTCTGCAATTCTCAACTCCAGAATCTTGTCATTCTGGTCAGAGGACTATTAATGAAAGCTCCGATCACTCCATAAAAGCCACACTCTCAAGACAGTTTACCTGTGTGGGAAAGCATTGAAGTTTACAAATGATCCTGGCTTGGTGGGTGCTAGATGTGGGAGGCTTGGAGACCTGCTTACATAACTGTAGTTTTAATTGGGTTCCAACCCTAACCCTCAGCCCACTCAGAAAGTTCGTTACACATCTTATATACTTCAAGCTGATGATATAAATGTGATTGGGATCTGAGAAGGTGACTAGCTTGACTGGGTGTTGTCCTTTAGTTTTCCCTGGATGGACATGTTGTGAACTAACTTGGTGTTCTAGATCTTTTCCCAGGAATCAGATGGAAGAAGCAGCCTGTACCATTGCTGTACCCTTGACTTTGCAGATGAGATAGTGTCTTAGGAGAAGCCAAGTGTAGACAACTCTTTCTTTCACACGTAGCATGATTTTGTAAATGTATTTTTCTGGAGACCCAAAATGCAAGTCAATTGATAGTGCTGTTGATTTTTAATTATGGTAGCTATGTCAGTGATGTGCAAATTGAGGCACTTTTAAAAGTGAAAGGAGGACAGGCATGAAAATTAAGCCCAGGCCACAGGGGTAATCAGGGCTGTCCTATAATGTATGGTTGCCATAATCTTAAGGGGAAGTTCCTTTCCTCAGAGAACTAAGATTATAAATTTATAACTATGCTTCTACATTTTAGGCATGATAATTGAAAATACTTTCTAGTATTTTATACTTTTTCTTTAATTTTGTTTTTGCTACACCACTGCACAGCCAATCTCTTGACCCAAGACCTATGAGCATCTCTTGGTTAAAGTTGCCTCTCTGACTTGCTTGTTGATGTGTATCTTCTCTCTGTTTTCTTAAATTTATGAAGTTTTTTTTTTTTTCTTTTTTTTGGTGCTGGGGATTAAACCCAGGGCCTCATGCATGTTAAGCATATGCTCTACCACTGAATTACGCCTTCAGACCTATTTTTTTAGCATTAGTATTTGCACTCCTAATTTCTGTATTTTCCATTTAAATTTTAAAAATAAAAAGGGCAGAATGCAGTGAAACATCCTTGTAGTTGCCCAGCCTTTCCTGTTCAAAGATGTGTGCTTTTTTGAGGTCAGCAGGCAGCAGCAACCTGTAGCAGTTAGGGCATCTGTCCCCTGGTGTAGGAAAGTTCAGGTTTGGAAGCTATTCACAGGCTGTGGAGTCAAGGATGGTCTCAGAATGTTGCGCGGGAGATGGAACCTTGATTGGTGATATTTACAGATGGGCTGCCACTGGGAATAAACCTGGGGAAGAATAAAATGTCGGTGGATGCTGCTGCAGACTATGCAGAGGGGGTTCAGGTCCTGGGCCCTTTGGCCGACTACCTGGTAGTGAACGTGTCCAGTCCCAACACAGCTGGGCTGCGGAGCCTTCAGGGAAAGGCCGAGCTGCGCTGCCTGCTGACCAAGGTGGGCCATTGCATCTCTTCTCCAAGTCCCATTCCACTAGCCTATCCTCCTTATGCCTCTCCTTTGTCCTGGGCAAAGCTTTAGCATCTTCAATGAGAAGCTGTCCTTCACACCTGGACCAGTTAAGAGCCCTTGCTGGACCTGAAAGCACTCTCTGATTCCTTAACACAATACCGATTGTGTGTAATAAGGAATGTTCAGTTGTCTGTGCTGCTGTTAAACCGTATGGTCCATAAGAGCAGGAACATGTCTCTCTGGTTCATCATTTTATCCCTTGCACCTAGCACAGTGCATGAATTGACTTTTATCACACATGCTTGTGAAGTATTCCTTGTTATTTTTTTTGGAACAAAAGTCAAAACCCTTAAGATATTAGCTGTTGCAGTGGGGATCTCTTGGTTCAAAATAGTTGAACCAGATCTATCTTGGTGGGGTCGCTTCAGGAAACAGTAGGTTTTCTGAAGCGGAGAAATTGCTCCTGCCTTAGTTTGAAGCTTGTGTGAAAACATTGACTTGCACCGCAGGTTGCGGTTGTAACTCTGGGCTGTGGTTCCTGTCTCTGGCCTGTGCTTCCCTAGGTGCTGCAGGAGAGGGATGCCTTGAAGGGAGTGCAGAAGCCGGCAGTACTGCTGAAGATTGCCCCTGACCTCACGGCTCAGGACAAGGAGGACATTGCCAGTGTGGCCAGAGAGGTTTGAGTTGGGCCAGGCCTGGGGGTGCCTCTCATTGTTGTTAGAAGCCTTTTGGTCCACTGGGATATCCCAGAATGGCATGATTTGTGACTAATTCTCTGTGATATTGGAGGCTTGTTGGGTGTTTGTCATCATGTAACTCATCTTATGGTAAAGAGGCTATGTTCAAATAATTGTTTGAATATGTCTTTTTCTCATGCCTCTTCCTTTCTCTTTGCTTACCTTCATCCAGCAAGGGTCTTACGGCTCATGCTTGCATCTCTGACCAGTGTCAGTTGGGACAGGAGTATTGTTTGCCTTGTCCTGTCTGCTGGGACTGAACACCAGGCCTCTATGGTGTAGGGGAACAGTGGAAACAGACTGAGCCCAGCAATGGGTTCAGATCCTGGTCCCACCACCCACTACCCAGGGCCTCAGACAATGCACTGTAAGCAGGTTGTTCTGAGGATTAACCCTGTTCTAGTGGAATGTTGTGGGTTGTCAGATGCGGTGATGGCTGCTATGTCACACTGAGGCTCATTCTGATACTTGTTCACCACAGGAAGTGGAGTGAGGCCCATGTAGCACTTGCTTCCAGGGCTGTGAATGTAGGCCCTGGCTGATGGCTGCCTCAGACCTCTAGAGAAGCTTCTCTGAGTTCCTCAGAGCCATGACTCAAAAGACTCTTTCTTTGTCTCTCACTGCAGTTGGGCATCGATGGGTTGATTGTCACGAACACCACAGTGAGTCGCCCTGCTGGTCTCCAAGGTGCTCTGCGCTCTGAGACAGGAGGGCTGAGTGGGAAGCCCCTCCGTGATTTATCAACTCAGACCATCCGGGAGATGTATGCGCTCACTCAAGGCAAGGTTTCTGCTGTCTGTCTGCTGCTGTGTGTGTGGCCCACGCCTCTGGTTGTGACTGTTCCCTCATCTGCTGTGTTTGCTGGGTGGGGACTTTGGGGCTGAAGCCAGACTGAGGTCCTGGCTCTGACATCCTTCTTCACAGTGTTGCCATGTTCTTTTCTGCAGGCAGAATTCCCATAATTGGGGTTGGTGGTGTCAGCAGTGGGCAGGATGCGCTGGAGAAGATCCAGGCTGGTGCCTCCCTGGTGCAGCTGTACACGGCCCTCATCTACCAGGGGCCACCTGTGGTGGGCAGAGTTAAGCGGGAGCTGGAGGCCCTCTTGAAGTGAGTGTGGCCATGTGTGGCTGGAAATGAGAAGTCACTCAGAGTTAATTCAGAATGACCCAAATCAAAGGGTGTTATTGCCAGGCACAGTGGTGTACACCTGTGATCCCATCAGCTCAGGAAGCTGAGGCAGAAGGATCACGAATTCAAAGCCAGCTTCAGCAACTTAGTGGGGCCCTAAGCAATTCGTTGAGACCCTGACTCTAAATAAAATATAAAAAAATGGTTGGGGGCGCTGGGGCTGTAGCTCAGTGGCAGAGCACTTGCCTACCACCTGTGAGGACTGGGTTCGATCCTTAGCACCACATAAAAATGAACAAATAAAATAAAGGCATACTATCCATCTACTATTAAAAAAATAAAAACGAAAAAAAAAATGGTTGGGGATATGGCTCAGTGGTGAAGTGTCCCTGGGTTCACTCCCTGGTACCAAAAAAAAAAAAAAAAAAAAAATCAAAGGGGTATTATTCATCCATTCATTGTTCACAGAAAAAGGATTTGAGGGATATACTGAACATAGGGGAAAATGACTTAATTACTTCTTTGACAAAGACTTGTGCCAGGGAAGTTCAGGAGTAAGTCTAAGGCAGGGTTGGCCAATTATTCAGGCCTGAGGAATCCTGGTAGAATTAAGCTGTTTTTTTAGTTACATTGGCTTAATGGCAGGGAGCTGTTGGTACGTGAAGTTGATTCCCTTCCTGCTCTGAAGGCCTGGGTGGAGATATCTCCAGGTTCCTGGTTGTGAAGGTAGTGAAGACGGCATGAGATGTGCCTGGGTTGGGATGGTTGTTCAGGAGAGAGAAGTGTGCTTGGGTGAACGCGGGCTTCTTCTGAGAGCAGAGCCTGTCCTTCACCTTTGCTGAAATTGCTTTGTTTCCTCACTTTCCAGAGAACAGGGTTTTAGCCGAGTCACAGATGCCATTGGAGCAGATCATCGGAGGTGAGGATGCTTGACAGAAATCCATGACTGGATCATGTGAAGAAGGACTCTAAAGCCATGTCTCCCAAACCAAAGCTTAGCAGGACTATAACAGCCAATCATAAGGGGGTCACCAGAGTCAATGGAGACTTTTTTCAATTGGTTGCTCAAACATAAATTTATAGTTGTGCTTCTTTCTGGATCCAAATCCTAGGATCCTTCAATTTGTAAGGATATTGAATATTTTTGGGGGAAATCATGGAAAAGATAAAGTCATTTAAATCCTGGCTTTGAACATATCCTCTTTCTGTAGAGCCAGGGCTTTGTCCAGTGTTGCAGGTCTTTCCAGGCCATACTCCCTGGATCTGCTGTGGGCTTCCCAGGACCATGACTTTCATTTTGTCACTGTTTTTATTTATCTTATAATTTTTAACTTTATTTTGAAACTATTTCAAACAGACAAAAGTTGTAAGAATGGGGCTGGCCGTTGGGGCTCAGTGGTAGAGTGCTTGCCTAGCATGTGTGAGGCACTGGGTTCAATCCTCAGCACTACATAAAATAAATAAATGAATGAATGAATGAATAAATAAATAAATAAAGTTGTTATGCTCAACTGCAACTAAAAATATTAAAAAAAAAAAAAGTTGCGAGAATGGTGCAGTGATGCTGGTTGTGGTGGTGCACGCCTGTAATCCCAGTGGCTCGGGAGGCTGAGGCAAGAGGATCACAAATTCAAAGCCAGCCTCAGCAACTTAGGCCTTAAGCAACTCAGTGAGATTCTGTCTCTAAATAAAATACAAAAAAAGGGCTGGGGAAGCCAGGTGTGGTGGCACACCTGTAATCTGAGCAGTTCAGGAGGCTGAGACAGGAGGATCACGAGTTTGAAGCCAGCCTCAGCAAAAACAAGGTGCTAAGCAACTCAGGAAGACCTTATCTCTAAATGAAATACAAAATAGGGCTGGGGATGTGGCTTAATGGTTGAGTGCCCCTGAGTTCAATCCCTGGTACCTTAAAAAAAAAAAAAAAAAGTGCTGGGGATATGCCCAGTGGTCCAGTGCCCTGAGTTCAATCCCCAGTACCTAAAAAAAAAAAAAAATGGTGGGGGAGCGCTGGGATGCTCAGTGGTCGAGTGCCCCTGAGTTCAATCCCTGGTACCTTAAAAAAAAAAAAAAAAAGTGCTGGGGATATGCCCAGTGGTCCAGTGCCCTGAGTTCAATCCCCAGTACCTAAAAAAAAAAAAAAATGGTGGGGGAGCGCTGGGATGCTCAGTGGTCGAGTGCCCCTGAGTTCAATCCCTGGTATGCAAAAGAAAGAAAGACACTGCCTCCAAATAAGGTCAGATTGTGAGGTACCTGGGGGTTAACTTCAACATATTAATTTTGAGGGGACCCAGTGCAATCCATAAGAGGAAATGAGCTTGCTCTTCCCCATTTCACTTATTTATTTATTTATTTATGAGTTCAGAGGATTAAATTCGGGCACTCGGCCACTGAGCCACATCCCAACTCTACTTTGTATTTTATTTAGGGACAGGGTCTCACTGAGTTGCCTAGTGCCTCAACATTGCTGAGGCTGGCTTTGAACTTGATCCTCCTGCCTCATCCTCTGAAGCCGCTGAGATTACAGGCATGTGCCATTGTGCCCGGTTCTTCCCCATTTTAAGTGTCTGTGACTTGGGTGTGTGACAACATTAGATGAGACTAAAGGGGTCTAGTTGTAACTAAAACTATGTCAGTTTTAGCAATCTTACAACATAAAGTCTTATTTCTACTTGTACAGTGGTAATTTGATATATTGCATAATAAAAAAACTTTAAAAATCTAGAATGCACAAGTATTGCAGTTTGATCCCTAAATCGTTAGTTAAGCAAACCTCATAAAACAGCTTCATGTCAGCCACTGCCATAAACTCATCAACACATCAGAACTGACAGATATTTTAGTTGTAACTAAAATAATGTCTGTGTTTTCAGTGCCAAAGAGTGAATGGTTGGGGCTGGGGTTGTGGTTCAGCGGTAGAGCGCTTGCCTATTGTGTGATGAAGCACTGGGTTCTCAGCACCACATACAAATAAATTAAAAAATAAAGGTCCACTGACAACTAAATATTAAAAAAAAAAAAAAAAAAGTGAATGGTGGAATGAAGTTGGGAACCACTATTGACTCTGGTTTTCCTTCACAGCTCACAGAGACTCTCCTGGTCCTGTTACCCGAGCAAGGCTTGTAGTTTAAGCTCTTTTGTTTGTTTTTTCAGTGCCAGGCTCCCATGCATGCTAGACATGTGCTTTACCACTGTGGTACATCCCCACTTCTACAGCTTTTATTTTAAATTTGAGTTCTTGGCACTTTATGGAGAGACACGGAACTTCAATGGAGATAACAGGTCATGTTGCCTAACTCTGGGCTTAGACAGTGCCTCCCCCTGCCACTCACTGCCAAGAAGCCAGTAGCCAATCTCCCACTGACCTGTTCAAACATCTTTTCATGGTTTTTATTTTTGAAAATATAAACAAATTTAAATAACACAGAACTACAGGAGCCCCCAAGCAAAAGTCCTATTCCCCACAAAACAATTACACTTTCCAGAGCTAACCACAGCTAACTTTTTTGCTATTGTCTAGATTTTTCTAGACATTCTTCTTTGTATCTGGACATACACATGTATCCATAGTTTTCTGCCTTTTTGTCTCTCTGCACACATAGAAAAGTTCATGCAACTTTTTATATACTGAATCATATGAGAGTAATAAATGGCTAATCTGATGTTCCATTACCTTGAACATTTTAGTGTGGACTTCCTGCAAATGAGTGCATTCTGGGTAACCACAGTATGACCATCAGGGCTGCGTTACAGCAATGATTCGCTGAGTCCATTTAATCTTGAGGCATTTTAAGACATGGCTTTCAGGCATAGCTGTGAGGGGGTTTCCAGATGAGGCTGGCATTTATACTGGTGGGCTCAGTGTAGTAGGTCACCCTCACCTATGTGGATGGGCCTCATCCAGTCCTGTGGGCCTGAATATAGAGCCTGAGGAGGAGGAATTTGGCATCTATTTGCACCTCGCCTGTCATAACTTGATGGGGAGCATCTCAACTTATTGTCACCTGCCCTATGACTGGGATTTATATCATCCCTCCATTGGTTCTCTGGCCTTCGAGTCTTGACCGAACTATACCACCTGCTTTCCCAGCTCTCCAACGTGCAGACAGCAGATGAGACTTCTCAGCCTCTAATCAAAGAAGTTCCCTGATACATAAGATGCCCCTCAACTGTGTGATGGGGCCACATCCCAACAAACCCATTGTAGTTGAAAATACAAGTAAAAAATGCATTTAATATACCTAACTTACCTGAAATATGCTTAGAATGTTTGTATTAGCCTATAGGTGGGCAAAGTCATCTGTCATAGTCTATTATTAAGTTTTAAATATGTACACATACATTTTATACACACAACATGATACAAAGCCTAAGATAATATCCAAAAATCACTGGCAACATATACCACTTTGGAGTATTGGTTGTTTATCTTCACGATTATGTGGCTGACTGGGGGCTGGGCATGACACAAAGAGTCTCATATTGCAAATTGCTGAACTGGGCAAAGGTCAAAATTAAGAATTTCAGGTATGGTTTCTATGAAATGTGTAGTGCTTTTACACCATCATATTCAAAAGTATCCAGGACACAAAGTCAAGTACAGAGACACTTTCCCAGACACAAGGAGACTAAGAGGACAATTGAATGCAACCTATGATTCTGAATTTTACCTTTACAATAAAGAATATTATTAGGACAATTGGTTAGACAGGAAGCTGGCCTCTATTTTCTATTGCTGTGTAACAAATCGCTATAAATAATGATTTGAAACAATACCCAGTGATTAGCTCAGCTCAGTAGGGCAGAAGTTGGAAACTCAAGTCAGTTGGGCTCTACCATCTATCTCTTATTGATTCTGTATCTTTGGAGAACCATACTATAGTCCTACGACCACAAAGAACAATTTTGCCTACATCCTGAATGACCTTGAACACTGATTCTTTCCACAGACTCTGGGTAGTAAACTGATCCAGCTGGCCCGATGATGTCCATGATGTCAGCCTGTGAGTCTCAGCATGGAGTTCAGTTGAGCAGCCTCAGCTGCCCTTCTGAGTTTGAGTTAATCAGTGGTATTGTTTCAGACCATTGAGTTTGTAGTGATTTGTTAAAACAAGTGTAGACAGCTATCCCCATAATGTTCTTTATTGTAAAGGTACCCAGTTCAAAATCACAGGTGGTCCTGTCTCCAGTCTCCTTGTGTCTGGAGGAGTTTCTCTCTGTCCTGGACACTTTGGAAGATGATAGGCCAATTACTTTATAAGTGCCTCTCATTTGGGTTTGTCTGGTGTTTTCTTATTGGATTCTGGTTCTGCAGTTTCATTGGGAACCTTACAGAAAAAATGCCATCTGATCAGGTGTCATTGCATCTTATCAGCCTCYGTTGGGGCCTAGGACAGTGAGTGCAGTGGTGCATGGAATTCCTAATATTGTTTGTATCGTATGCTCTTGTATTTTTGTGGAGTGTCTGATGGGCATCCACATTATAAATGGAGTAAGTTTAATTGTATTCTGTAATTTGCTCTTTTCACATATCGTTATAATGAGCAATTTGATATCTGTGCYTTAGGTCTACCTTGGTCTTTCTAGCAGAGCCAGCCTTGGTTTGCCATAGTGTAAATATCAATGTGTGCTTAGGTGTAAACACGTTGGCTGGTTCCATTCTCCACATTACAGAGTACTGCACTGACTGGTTCCTTCAGCACTGCTGGAGAGTGTAACCCCAGAAGTGGTGTTGCTCAGGTTCTGAGCACTTAGCTGCTTCCGTTACTGCTGCTGGGATTACAGGTGTGCACCACTGCGCCCGGTTRTTAGTTTTCACTTTTGACAGGAGGAATGTCAAAGAATTTGTGGAGATTAAAATTTTTTTTTTTTTTTTAAATTTTGAGACAGGGCCTTGCTAATTTGCTTAGGAGTCTCACAAAGTTGCTGAGGCTGACCTTAAACTTGCAATCCTCCCACCACAGGCATGTGCCACTGGGTCAGTCACTACAGCAGGGGATTTTGAAAAAGTTCATTTGGTCTAATGTATGTGGATAGGTGCTTGGGAGTCTGTGAGGACAAAGCAGTAGTACTGGGATGAGCAAGGTCATCTTCCCAATAATCTTGTACATTTACAGAAAATCCCACATAATATCTTTTTAAAAAACATTTTTGTAGGTGAACACAATATCTTTTTTCTTTTTCTTTTCATTTTATTTATGTGGCGCTGAAGATCGAACCCAGGGMCTCACACATGTGACATGAGTGAGTGCTCTACTCCTGAGCCCCAGTCCCAGCCCCCCACATAATATCTTATTTGATCTCCTGACAGCTCTCTGTGACATATGATTATGATTSCCATTTTTAGAGATGAAGAAAATGGGGTTAAGTGCCTGCTCTTAGGTGATACAGGTAGGCATGGTGGAGGGAGGACCGTTTCTTCTCATCTCGATGCCAGCATCTGTCCTACTCTGCTTG